CTCAGGAAGGGCTGCAGGGGAGAGTGACGAGGAGATAGTTATGGCTATGGCATCGGTGGAACTCTGCTGGTGGGCATGGGTTGTGCAGGAGGTGATACTTATGACTCATCTAGACAGAGAAGACAGGGGAAAGTCTGGGGTAGGGTGGGGTGGGTGTTACATACTTGCCCCTTATGGTAGTGCTGCTCCCCACAGAACAATTAATGCCACTTGGGTTGKTACAGCTCCAAGCTGTCTTTAAGGCAGCCAAGAACATACCCTGACATTGCTGAGCACGAAGAGAGGCATAACTGTGGGTGGACACAAAATTGGCACCTTAAGACTTCAAAGGCATGGCCAGTGTAAGAGAAGCACTGAGAACTGGGATTTTAACTATAAGATGTAATAGAGGAGTAAAGAAGAAAAATTTCAATCTTGAGCAAGTCAGTGGGATGCTTTTAATCTTAGGGAGTGTAGATCTATAATAAAACACTTCATATACCATGAGTTGGCTAAAAAAATAAGAGACATATTTGAGATGAAGATGTTGTATTTCAAAAAAAGAATAATGCTGGGCACAGTGGCACATGCCTATAATCCCTGTGACTTGAGAAGCTGAGACAGGAGGATTGCAAGTTCAAGGCAACTTGGTGAAGCCTTGACTTCCAAAATAAAAAGCGCTAGGGACATAGTTCAGTGGTAAAGTGCCCCTGGATTCTATCTCCAGTACCAAAAAACAAACAAACTTTTTAAAATAAAGACTGATAGGAGCAAGCCTCTTAGATGTGAGCTGGAGGGTTTCAGATTCTGCTTTTCTCACACTCAACTGATTTTGGGATTCCCACTATAAGAGGAGTGTGGAGAAGTTGGGGCTCAGAGAAGTACTTTCAGTATTACTGAAATTATGGGAAGTAAAAATCATTTTAATACAGAATAAAATCTGAAGGAATATGTTATATTTTAATAAGGTAGGGAGTAATAGAACTACCTCAATGCTCAGAAGTTTTAGTTACCAAAGCAAAGGGTCAAATTTTAATATCATGTAAATTTGAAAGAGGAAAATTGTCAGGATTAGGAATTAAGTAACTCGTGAGTGAACAGGCTAATGATTCGAATAAGAAAATCAAGAAACTGAAAGCAATCTCAATATTATCTGCCAACTGTTTAATAAGCTTTATTTAAAGTAAAATTAGAATATAAAACCTAATTGAAATATATGGGTACAAATTAAAAAAACCTGAAAAACAAAATTATATAAATGTTCTTARCAATGAAAAACGTCCAATTAAATATATAAACAATGCTTGTTTAAATGAAGCATATAGTCACACTGACCTGCAGTCAGTTTTAATCAAAGGCTATACAAAAATTTTAATGCAATTGATTTCAACAGTTTAAATTAAACCCATAGTTTTGATATGGCTGACAGCCACYTTAGTTAGAGGAATGACTCCCTGTGGACTTAATTTTATTAAAAGGAAAAAGAAAAATATAGATTGCTGCTAATGTTCAGATCTGAAATGAAGACTGAGGTAATTTCTTTTTTCCTTATTGGATCTCATATGGAGTTCTGAAACAAGATCACATGTAGATGTTAGACCAGGAAGAGGCCTTACAGTAGTGGCTCAAGCCTCTCCTTGGATGGATGGATGGGCCAGTAAGGCTGAGAGGTGCAAGTGCTATGGAAGGCCATGCTGTGGGCCTGAGGCCTCAGCTTGGAAGCTCTCCTGTAGTGTATGAACATGGGCTTTTTGGTACTGGACAGAATCTTGAGTTTGACTCTGTCCAGTTTTGTGAAGCTATTTGGCTCTTTGGTCATACCAGCCTTAGAGATTTACCCTATCAAGACAAAATATATCATTGAATCCAAGAAACAAGTATTTGCTACCAAAAGCCTTGAGGATATAACAACCCTGGGGTAATGGGCCTGCTTTGTGGGGTGTGGCCAATGCTGTAGAGTGCTGGGTGATTGGTGGTGATGTCTGCTTTGTGKCTGCTTTGTGAGATGAGGATGGTATGAACTTGAACTTTGAGAGCTGGTTCTTTGAATCTGTAGGGCCTTGCAGTTTATGGCCTCACCTTCAGGGAACTGGAATCTACCCAACTCCAAAGCCACCATGCCCAGGGCTCATAGTTGGGAACATCTGTCTTTAAATCTTATAGTAATGACCAGTCTCCATATCACGGAATTTTCATGAAGTTATACAGTTAATGGTCCAACCATTTTTAGCTGGTCTGCTCTCATCTTTGCCTTTCTTTAACCTATAGAAACCTCATATTTCTGAAGAGAAAGGATTCCTAGTTTTTGTGTGCTTTTGTTTAAATGTCCATATTATAGAAGCTGATAAMAAGTCTTGTTAGTAAAGTGCACTTGAAATTACATAGCTTAACTTAAAAAGGATACCATATAAAAAACACTTGCTGACCTTGTGTATAGCCCACAGCCACCTATGAAAGTACTTGTATGCATATATGAAGTCTTTGAGACCCTCATTGATTGCAAAGGAGGCAGAGAAAAAAATTATCAGTAAGATTAAATATTTTTGAAGGTACCAGGTATACTTTTTCTGAAACCACTTGAACCTGATGAAGATAATTTTTTTCTTTTGATGTAGGCATTCTTCCTAGCAGAAAGTTACAACAGATAGATCACAGACCTTAACCTCCCTTGCAGAGAAAAGGAAGTTTAAACTTAAAGCAAGTTCTCTTCATCTCATTATTTTCTCTTTTTGAAATCAGATAGTAAAGTATATAATTTGTTACCTTTTCTGACTCCTGAGTGACATTTAGGTTATTTTGATTGCACAATGTAGTTTCTCTCATGCTGAACATTATGTAGTAATTTTGGATGTTTGGCCTCTGAAAGGGCAGGCAACAGGGCCTTTTCTTATGTTTTCCTTCAGGTTTTCTCTACATCCTGTTTTATGTGTGGTTAGATCAGCTGATGAGTCACCTGATGTTTTGCTGCTTCAAATGACAGAAATAGAGATTCAAAATAACCACACAGAGGAGTATCTCGGATGTTTACCAAACACATTGCGCAAAAACTTGCTTTTCTACTGTTCAAATACTTTTTATAAAGTGTGAGGGCCGTGTGAAGGTGGTGGTGTGGAGAATGTAGGCAGGAGCTGCCGGCTGAATGTGCAGTGTGCACATCAACACTGAGGCCCCCACAGCTTTCTTACAGTGCAACTGTAGTGCACCTTTAGTTACAAAGAAAGGTGTGGGCCAGAACTTAGAATATAAGAGACCCCTTTTTTCTGGACTGTGCACTCGTTTGATGGATGAGGACTTCATGCTAAGTTTAGCGAGCAGCTTACCTGCAGAACCAGGGGCCAGAAACCATGGCTGGTTGGTACAGACCAGCACATGATATTCTTTCTGGGTGCTGGTATATTCAGATTTACTGAATTAGATTTCTATTGATTTATTTATTTTTGCCATGTTGGGGATTAGTCCCAGGGCATTGATATCCCCCTTGAGACATGCATGTCTTAAGGGAACAATTGAATTGCAACAATATACTTTCTACTTTGCAACACATATCGTCATTCTCCACTTTAGTTTTGAGTGGGGGAGCGGGAATTGAGTCAAGGGCCATTGACAAAGTTTTAGAAAGGAGTATTACAAAAAAGTTCTTCCCATGCTCCACCCCTTCAGAAGAAGAGATCCCCAAGCGGAATAATTAGCAGGGTGGGAACAGCTGACTCTTCTCACTTCCTCCTCTAAAGATAAATTGAATAACTTTTCCCATTATTGGGATATGTCACAACTGTTCCAATCCTGCCAGATCCAGAAAGGGCTGCAAGTGAAGCTACCCTTGGAGTCTGAAGACCTACCCCAGCTTCGTCACTCCCTAGTGAGCCCCAGGTGCCTTTCCTCCTGGGCGTCTGGTCCCCTGCACCTCCAAGGTTGTTTGAAGAAGGAAGTGCTGCAACTGCTGCATCCAGATTTCACTGAGCCTCCTCTGATGGACCTTTTCTCATAGAAAGTGTCTCATTTCTGAGCAAAACTACCTGTTAATGCTGAAAACCCAAATCAAAACCACAGGAGTAGCTTTGGCACAAAACAGGCCCAATGCAGGAAGCAAGTAGGGTGACTGACTTTTACTCAACAATATAAACGAGTGGCCTTGAGTGTCAAAGAAGACTCCTCAATGGATGAGGGTTTTCTGCCAATGTGCAAATCTCAGCACTCCCTGAGCCTGTGGCCAGCAGGTCCAATCTTTTCATGACTTTCTTGGAGCAGTCTCATCTAGTTCTGTTTGCTCAGTTCTCTGAAGTCTTACAGATGCAGTGTGTTCAGGAAATCCTCACCTAAGGCTATGCTTTGAGTGGGCAAACTCATTTCTCAGCATTTAGATGAAAATCTGCTTTGTGCCCTTGTAGTTTGAGATGGGTCCTTCCACAGTCCTTGACATGTGACTCTCACAGGCACAGCAGTCTTCTAAATCTGTCAGCTGAGTGATCTGTGCAAAAATTAACATGTTGGAACATTGCTTGGGTTAGCAGACTTGAAGGGTTGCCCCTTGTGACTGTGGAGTGGGGAAAGCGTCCCCTCTCCCCTTTCCCTATCTGGATGATGAAATTCTTGGTGCAAACAGGAGAACATGCCACCTCAGGGTTCTGCCTTGAGAGTTCAGATGTTACTTTGGCCATGTCGCAGCAGCCAAGGTAAAGAAAATGTATGAAGAAGCACTACAGAATCCCAGCTCCTGAGCTGTGGTGGGGGACTGCACTGCTTCTCAGATTCTTGGGAACTCCAAAATAACATGATGGCCCATTAATCTTTATCACTAAACGTATTTCTGAAGTTAAAATTGCATGTCCTAATTGCACAATAAGGAGTTGTGCTAGCTGATTTACCCTGGATTGAATGAGAAAGGATTTGCTTTTTCATTTTGCTTTTAACCCCAGAAGCATGAAATAGTCACACATGTTAAAAAATACTGCTGTTTAATTTTCTAGTCATGTACTTTTTAAAAGCCAATACAATTAGATTTTTTTTTTTCATCTTTTCAGATCTGCCCCTGAAACCACCCCCAAAGCAGCTACGCATCTGAATGTTCAGCACTCATACATATAAATGGAGGAAAAGCCGCTCTGAGGAAGCATGTAAGGACTTGTCCCTGTGCGGGGCACATCTGAGGGGCACCAGGTGCCCCAAAGCGGGAATGCAGCCCTGTGAGGTTCACAGCCACCTTTATGCCCTTACAGCCTTTTTTCTCTGAGGAACAGTATGGGTACACAGCACTGAAAACAATAAACACAACAGGACCGCCTTCTCCTTTGCCTCTTTTGCCCTTCCAGCTCACACTCGCATTCCCACAGTTGTCCACACAACAATTTATTTCTGGGTTACCCGTGACCCAGAATAGTTCTCTGGTCATTTATGGACCCTTACATTCATATGCAAACAAGGGATTTTGTAAAAACTGCTGCAAATAAAATACAATGGTCAGTGATACAATACCATTCAACTACAGGTATGTGGAACACGCAATCACTGCATCGTATTAGAGACATTTTATTGAAAATGCGAAAATAGGAAATGTATTATAGCCTAAAATAAATTACATAACATATACAGCATATATTTATATCTTTAAAATATTTTGTTTAGGTTCTTTCAGTCTAGTTATTTTGACTAAAACAAGAATTTAGAGAACTGTGTCCATAATTTTTTTAAAGGAAAAAACCCGCTCTCCAAAACTTAGAAAAATATACTGCACTAAATGGATTTCCAATGCATTATTTCAGGGAATATCACATAGTGACTTTGATAATTGTTTATAAAATGTCTTGCTTTATGGTGTATGTGAGAGGGAAGTACCGTAGTACACTTGGAATTACCTGTACCGCAGAGTCATGACTAGGAACGGCAGAACCAGGTAATAAACCTACTTTAAAAGTTATGAGACAGCAACCTGGCATTAGAATGCTAGATTATGACTTAAAGCTTCAGTTCATTGTAAAAACTAAATGGAAGGTGAGAAGGCTCCTTTTAACTCGCTCTAGTGCCATCTTCAGGAAAGGGGTGAAAAGCCTCAGGGAAAGTCATGCGGAGGGATGCTGATGCTGGGAGATGCGCTTTTGTGTCAGCTGTGAAAAGGTGGCTCGTGTGTACACACGGTGGGGTATGACAGCTCGCTCTGATCTAGGAAAACGAAAAGTGAGATGCCATTGACCACGTCAATTTGCTACTCTGATGGCATTGCAAACATTTCTACAGAATATTTCCATACATCGGCCCAGTGTGGTCACAAATCTGTTCCTCAGTGTGCATGGCGACTCTGGGCTGCAGCTTGTCGCTCACCTTCTGCATATGTTTGGTAGGCAGTTCATGACTCCATGGTGGAAGGGAGAAGAAACTGGCCACCAGGTGACATCTCTGTGTACAGCCATGTTACTGGGAAGCAAGTCAAAGGAGGCCAAACTTTAACCTGTTGATTCTTAAGAGAGACAAAATGGGACAGGAAAGAGTCTGTGGCCAGCTGGGCAGTGGTGGCCCGAGAGGCGATGGCACAGCCGCAGTCCTTTGGTTCAAAGTAAAGATTGTCCGAGGGAGGAGTAGAGACTTTTGACTACGAGGCAGCTATGTCTTTTGGGTTTTCATGAAGCAGGGGCACAAAGTCAACGGTTTTGTCTGTTTACAAAGCGGAAGGAAAGACCTTTCTTTAGGTCCCCACATGAGTGTGAGCATACCCAGTATGCTAGAGAATTGACATGAAACCTTTAAATCAAGGCCTCTTTCATTACCAAAAACAAAACAAAAAACAAAAAAAAAACACATGGGAAAGAGATGATGCTGAAGTGCCATCCCAACTGTCCCTGCAGTGCCCGTGGAGTCCTGTGCCTTAGTCATTCTCCTCTCTCATTTCTACGATGTCCGTCACCTCCTCTGTTGGAGGCATGTCAGTCATGGCAGAGTCTTCCCCCTCAGTGGCTGACTCGTTCTCCATCTTCTTTTTCTAAACCAAAGAAGACTCGTTAGTGTGGGGCTGTGGACAGGGCACCCGGCAATAGAACCATGAGCAGGGAGAGGCTGCCAGGACCTCTCGCTGCAGACTTGGGTCTCGCCTGTGGTTGGGGGGTGAGCTCATCAGGCTGCATCTTGTTCAGCACACTCCTCTCACCTGCAGTGTGCCTGTCACTGTGCTAGGCACTTAGAGGGACCATTTCTCACCTCCCTGCAGCCCTTTGGAGTGGAGGCTGTTCTTTGCAGTTCTGTCACCATTGCTCCCCACTACCCATATGGCCATGTGCAAACTATTAGCCTCCTCCCTAAAGCCTGAAGCTTTGAATCTCATGTTCTAGAACACTCCTCCCTGTTCTGTCATCACTGGGTCCTCTCTGGGATAGCTTTGAGTCTTGCTTATTACCTGAGACAGAAATACCCCTCACAGGGCGTGGTGACCCTGCCTGCAAGGTAGACCAGCTGTGTGCCAGCAGGTAGAACATGTGACAGTGTGAGAGAGTGCTGAGGTGGGGTGGGGTGAGGTCTAGCACAGTCAGGAAAGGCTTCCTGGAGGAGGGCTGAAGAGGGGAAAGGCTCTGTGGAGGCAAGGGAGAGAGAATGGCCTAATCACCCCACATTTTCTAAATTAGCCACACCTTAGTGATCCAGTCTGGGCTTACAACGACTTAGGGGAGGAATCAGGTTGCAAGAAGAGTCACTTTTTTTTTTTTTTTTTTTGTGGTGCTGGGGATTGAGCCCAGGGCCTTGTGCATGGGAGGCAAGTATGCTTCCAACTGAGCTATATCCCCAGCCCAGAGTCACCTTTTTTAGGATTTTTTAAGGTCAAAACTGTTATTTAGTTTCTAATTTTTTTTAGGTCTCCAGAGGTTAACAGCAGGATGTAGGACTGAACACATCCATCCTGAGAGGTATGACTGTCTTTTGAAACACCGTGGGATATAAGGAAGAAACTATTATAGAAGAAAGGCTTCCCTGCCGTTACTAAAAGCTGACCAAGGTGAAGTGACACTGGCTGTGAGGGTACAGACCCTGGAAGGTCAGGATAAAGCTAAAGTGCCTATCATGGCTGTCCCTGCACATGTGTGGCACAGACTCAGAACACCTGGGAGGGGGCTTTGCAGTTCTGGAGCCAGTGTCTCTCACCTGTTTCCGATAGACGTAGCACGCTGCAATGGCAACCATGGTGGATTCTCCCACGAACCCTGCTAGGAGGGAGCCCACACCCAGGGTAGCTCCATGTACCCTGGAGATGAGAACACAAAGGTGGTTTGTCTGTTAAAGCCAAATTGAGCCACAACACAGAGTTTATGCCAAAACCCAACTGATGTTACTGAAACACAGGAAAGGTGTAGCCTAGAGAGGGGCAAGCGAAACACATTCCTTTTTAAAATTTTTTTTATGGACACAACACCTTTACTTTATTATTTTTATGTGGTGCTGAGGATTGAGCCCAGTGTCTCACACGTGTTAGACAAGCGCTCTACCACGGAGTTACAGTCCCAGCCCTGTGAACCTCACTCTTGATTAACTGGGTTCAGAAAGGGTCGCCCCCTAACAATCACCCATGCTGGGAGGAGGGACCTGGAACCCAGGGCTGAGCTGTCTTCCTTTGGGGACCAACAGGGCAGGATCCTCCCAGCCTCGGCTCAGCTCTGCAGCCCCGCCCAAGTCTCTTTCATTTGTGATCCTGCAGCTGGCACGGATCTCAAGAGCCTCCACCTGCTGCCAGGCAGAACTCCCTGCTAAAGGTCTGACTCCAATATGCTCAGGGGGTTCACCTGAAAGTCCAGAGCATAAGGCTCTGGACAGAGTACTTAAGCAGCAGAAGGCCTAATACAAGCAAATTCCTAATACCATACCCTAAGTAGGGCAGGACCACGAGGCTGGTGATGAGGACGATGATCCGCAGGACGGAGCTAGGCGCCAGGACAAAGGTTTTCTTCAGTGTCATCAGCCACCCTGTGAGATGGGCCCTCACAGTGACTGTGGAGAGAGCAAAGGGTTTGTCAGCTGTGTCTTCCATCAGCCCTGCTTCTCTCTCGTCACCTCTGGCCCAGAGACTGCCTGGGACTCCGGCCTTGCTGCTGTGGCCTGGCCTTCCTGCTGCTTCTGAGTCAGGCTGGGCTCAGTCCCTGTTCCCACCCAGGCTTCCCACCTCAGGTGGCTGGATGTAGGCGGGTTCCTTGCTCCACAGTAATCATCCAGGAAAGGTGGTAGCCTAGAGAGGCTACACCTGTGCACCACCTGTGATACAGTCTTCCCAGCCTTACCCTAGTCCTGACCATCCACTTCTAGAAGGCAACCACCCTCCCCCACAAAAAGCAACTTTTATGCTGGGTGAGCTCTTGTTGGCCCCAGAGCTGTATCCCATCACCAGAGAGGTGAGGGGATGAGAGAGTGGGGAACTGTTGTTGCTCCCACTTGCCATTATGTCCCTAGAGCCAGCCCTGTCCACTCCAACCGTAGGCATTACCCTGTCTCCTCCCCATCATGGTGCAGCCACAAGTTCCATCTGTTGCTATTTCACAATGACTATGCACAAATTCCCTGCACCTCTCTCCCCACCCAGATTGCAGGAGGCAGGGCTGCCAGCCTGAGTGTGGAGGAGGGTGCAGGAGGCCAGCACATGGATAACTGAACGGCATTGCTATGTTGGGCACAGACGCTTCCCCTTGCCAGGGAGAACTGCCCTGAATGTCCAGATTCTATCTGGAACTGGAAGGGGCTTGAGGGAGTATAGGGCCAGGGCCTGGAAAGGAGGGGACCCTCAGCCCCAGGCAGGCAACTCCAGCAAAGGCTCTTGGAGGAGGACGTGCTTGCTGCTGTGTAACATTAGCTTCCAGAATTGGTCTGTCTGGAAAGCAGAGCCTGCTGCACCGTCCCCTAACCCTTCTCCCACCAAGCCCTCAAGGAGTGGGGGATTGAACCCAGGGCTAGGCAAGCCCTCTACCACTGAGCTACACCCCTGTCCCTGCTGTTGTCTTGGTCTCAAACTGTGTCTTGCCTTCCCAAGTGGTGGAAGTGTTATATCAATGAGACTCATTTCCTTTTTCAGGCACAGACCCACTTAAATTTGGCCAAGGGAGAGGGTAAGGGTCAGAGGCTAATCTGGTGGTGCAAACCCAAGATTGTCACGAGCAGAGATAGAGGCCTGACAGCTATCTGGAAGGTCTTCTGACAGAAAGGAAGTGGAGTCAAGAAGAGATTAAAGGTGACTCGCACATCCAGCTGGAGCTTCCAGACTCCTTGGCCCCTCCTCAGGTCACAAGTGTGGGCAATGAACTTCAAGTGCAGCCTCCCCCGAGTGACATCACCTTCCAAACTTGACTTAGCCAGTGTCAACCCAACAAAGACCAGACACCATCCCACTGTGGTGGTCTGTGTCATTTCCTTCATTCCAGCCACAACCCTAAAAGTGACCCAAGGCTGGACCTCTGAGAAGACTTGGCACCTAAGAGTGAGAGCTACCTGTTGCCTAACTTGGGAACCACAAAAGACTGCTAGATGTTCTGGACTAACCCCATAACTCAGATCTTAGTTTAACATAGCCTTGTAGAATCTGGGTTTCCTCATTTAGGTGGAATTTTTTGGTAGTTAATTTTTCTTTTTTATTTCTGGGAATGAAACCAAGATCTTGTTCATGCTAAGCACATACTCTACCACTGAGCTACACCTCCAGCCCTGGAAATTTAGTTTTGACTAATAT